CTCTCTCTGACTAGTGGAACTGCCCTGTTTTCTCTTGTCAGAGTTTCCTGCAAGCAACTTCTGAGCTTGCAATACCAGTTATCTCAGCTTGCACCAGCTGGGAGTATAGCTCACACCTTAAGTACTATCACTTTAACTACTCATTTATATTTTTCTATTCAATTCTAAGGAAGCATGTGTATCCTATACAGATGACTTCCTCCTCAACCTAGGTCATTTTTCAACCTAGTAATTTCTGTCAGTCATTTCTGGGTGGAGTCTTCGCTGGCCTCATCTCAGACACTAGGTGAGCTGTAAACCACCACCAAAGAACTTAAATTGCTAGGTTCTGGAATACCTACATTACTTGATTGATAGTTCTGAACAACCCATCTTTTGCCTATTGCCAGTTCTTGCAGTTCTTTAGTACTTTACTTAACAGCCCATGTCCTAAAGTCAAGTCAGTTTCTATCCCCCATCCTTGCAGGGAAAACCTTGAAAACATGACCTGAGTGCATCCTAAAGCCTCAAGAATTCATTAAGCATAATTCCAAATTCACTTCATGATTTTGGCATGGCAGAGGAACTAGAGTCACAATTTTTAATGCTTGACTATGGAAATGCTGCTTTTCCTGTAGAAATTTCTCTTCACATCCTATATGCTTTGTCCTCTGGAAACAGCTTCCCAAACTATTCAGTCCAGTCCTCTATGTTCACAGACAACCAACTGTCCAGCAATATCCACAAAATGCCTACATTTGCATCCCACTGCCATAAAACTCCCTTTAAAATACTGCTACAATATGCCACAGGTAAAGACCAAGAGATACATGGGCAATGCCAATGCCTTGCCACTAAACTGGCAGGAAATTCTCCTTAATCCCACTTTGAGTTGGTTTGTTTTTATGTGGAAATAAAGCATAAAAAAGCAGTTAAAACTGGGTGTGTCCACACATGCATTTATGCCATCTTAAATTTATTCTGCAGTAAATTACATGTAAATTACTGCGCAGTAAGTGGGAATAGGCCAGCATCTACACATGCAGCTGTTAAAGCACATTAATGCTGTGTGTGGACTGACTTGGCACTAAAGTTAGTCCCAAGTCAGTCCACACACAGTGTGACTGTGCAGTAGGCATCTACACATGCATTACTGCACAGTAACTAATCGGATGTAAATTTGATAACTGCATGATGCAGGTATCAAATTTATGCTCAAGTTGGTGTATGTTGACATATTTACTGTGCAGTATAGGCGTGCACATGTAGACATGCACCCATTCTGTGCAGTAATTTTGGTTACTTTGCCATAAATGTGCACATGTAGATGTGCCCACTGAGTAGTAAAATAAGAAGTCAAACCTATGCAGCATGACTTTGAGTTGTATTTCCTGCCTGGGATTTCACCGATTTCCCTTCAGATTAAAGGCTGTTCCTCTAATATACAAAGCAAATGCTAATTCAACATTTCTATTCATTGTATGTGTGTTTCTTGGTTCACAAAAAAGTTTGGGATGCACATATCATGGAGAAAGAAGGGCAAGCTTATATGCAAAAGCTTATTTAACATCCCTCCTAACTATACAGTTGAGCCAGTAAAAAATATCACAAAGAAAATCATTGCTTGTCATATATTTCCTGGACCATTACAACTATAACATCATTCCAACCCTATTATAACAGTAGAAAGATTTCTTCAAATTCCTTGTAGAATTTTATAATAAATACACGTAATGAAAATTAATATGATATTACTTAGTGACCCAGAAATATGACGCTGACAACAGTCCTGATTATATTCTTATTGCAGTCAATGGAAGTATGTCACTAACTACAGTGGGAAAGGAGAGGGACATGACTGAGCTCAATGGACCACACATTGACTTTGGTTTGTAGTTGAAGTCTTCTCTATTGACTTCAGTGGCTGTTGCATAGGGCTCAGAGTGCACACTACACACACTGAGACAACTGAGCAATATTAAGAGGTCAAAAGTAAAGGTTTGAAGTAACATAATTATTTTGACTTCAAAAAAGTCTAAGGGCTTATCTACACCACTTTCACATCAAGCTGGACGCTACCAGGTATACAAATTTCCTGCTTGGTCATTCTTGGACAGCATGAGCCCACACCAGCAAATTAGGCAATGTAGCCATCTTAAAAAAGTGGCCCTGAGAGCATAGTGTGGCACTTCTCTCAGCCTTTCTGCCTCAGTTGTATTCTTAGCATGCATTCGGGGCTACCCAGGTCACCTACATGGCCTACTATATTTTCTTGCATACCCACACCCACAAATAAGACATGAACCATTTTTCAGGTAGGTAGAATGAAGAAAAACTGACTTTTCCAGAGTTACAGCTGCATAGAGCAGGGACAGAGCCTAATCTTCAGCTTACTCACCTACCCTTTCCTGCTTTACCATAAGCTTGAAATTCTAGCTGCTACTAAAGAATCATCTCCATGGGTGGATCTATGATTTTGAAAAGTGGTAAAAAAAGTATGCAAGGCTATGAAATTGGAGTGGACAGCAGTAGCTAAAAGACAGTAAAGTTGCTAGAAGAATGGTTAAATTGATCAGTGGAACATCGATACCACTGAAAAGGAGGGACAGTCATTAATACATGTGGAGTAAAGAACAATGAACCAAAAAGTCAATTGCCTCTCTCACTTGCCTGAATAGAAATACCACTTCTCCTGCAAGGAGAAATGGAAGCACAGTGCTTCTATTCCATACAGAAGATCAGCTTTCCCACTTAAGAAACTTTCCCCAGTTTTTGGGAAGTGGGGGGAAGTGTGCATAGTATGCAAGTAAATATGGTCATTTGTGGGCTTGAATGCAGACAAAGCACAAGCAAGCAAGAGTGACATATTTCTTGGTAGTAGCCTAGGCTTTGCATAGGAAAGTGGAGTCATGGTCTAAATGGCCTATTTACCATAGTACAGTTATGTTACATATAAATAATATTAAGGCTGTGAAACAGTTATGGTATCAGGCAAACACAGGACTACTTCTCGCACTACACACATGCTTAGTTTTACTATCATGATTGAAAAAATGAAATCAGAGTAAGCAATTACGTAAGTGTTGGCAGGATGAAAGCTGTAGCTAAGACTGACTGTTCTAGCTCACTTCACTGCAGGATAGAAAGTTAACTTGTTTTTAAATATGCATCCAAAATGAGTTGAGTGTATGTGTCCTTGAGACATCGGACTGAGCCAAAGTTGTGGCTCTCAGCTCCCTAAAGGAATTGCTTATCTTCCCATAAAATCAGATCCTAGACTATTAACAATAGATTTCTTTGCCATTGATGCAAACATATTTCAGTAATCCCTGCTAAATCTCCAGATGGCTGTAAAATGAGAACTGTCTTTGTTAACAATGAGAGAGTATTGCAAAAGTTATTCAGAAAATCTGGAAATGTTTGCATTATTTATGAACAGTGTGCTTGCCTCAGTTTTTCCACCTACCTGTGTACTATGGGGTACAATGGGTTAAACAGTAACCATGATGGAAAGTGGGTGTGTCTACATGTGTGCTTTAATGTGCATTAGCCTATTTTAATGTGCATTAAAACATCACTGAAAAATCATGCTCTTTAGTTAATGCATATTAAGACAGGCTAATATGCATTTTCCTAGTACCCCACAATGAAGGGCACTTTTACACACATGGGCAGGGAGAGGAAAGGGAGGAAGGAGGGGAGAAGGGCTTAAATATAGTGGCTCTGAGAGCCACTCTAATTAAAATGCCACCACGTCTCGTATATCAGCAACCCTAAGCTTAAAAATGGTGGCGGTGGCACTTGAACTGAAGCTCATTGAATGAGCTTTAGTTCAAGCACCCCAGTCACCATTTTTAAGTACAGGATAGCTGAAACATGAGATGCAGGAGGCTGCTGGAGTGTGGTAATTGCCATGCTCCAGCAGACTCGATTACTTGATTGTTGGTCTTAAATATGTATCCAATATGGGTTGAGTGTATGTGTCCTTGATACAACATCAGACTGAACAAAAGTTGTGGCTCAATTAATTGAGTCTGCTCTGATGTGCTGGAACTCCAGTCTCCACACTCATGTATAGGCACCAGAAGCAGTAGATTTAATGAGCATTAACTAAAGCATGTTAATGTATGTGTAGACCCACCCTGTGAGACCTGTGTAAACAGCACATAGATCTAAGCTGATTTGGAACAGCCTATTAAGAGCTGGATTATATCATCTAGCTAAGGGGGTAGCACCTTGGTGAAGACAACAAGTGCTCCGGTGACTGGACATTAACTTTTAGGGCACTGACAGAAGTGACCATTTGTCGCACAATTAGCCACTGAAAGCGCTCTACAGCTGTGCACTGACAGAAGTGCATGGCTGCAGAACACTTAAAAGTGGCTAATCAGGCAATAATCTGAACCCTTATTGCATGAGGGCTCAGATGAAGGCACTTCAAAGCAGTGCGCCTTCATTAATGTCTGTCAGCAGGGCAGGAGCAGGGTCTGGCTGATTCAGCCCAGCTCTGCTCTGTATGCTGTCTTCAGGATGGGAGTGGGGAAAGGAAGTGGAGTGACTTTGGCTTAGGGGTTCCCCAGCTAGTGCTGGAGCATGGGGCATGTGGTTTGGAGCCCCCTGCCCTGAGGTTAGGGGACAGATGCTTCAGACATGCAGCATCTCTCCCTGGATCAGCTCCAAAGGGGAGCTGTATCAAACACCCTCCCAATCCAACAGCAAACGTCTGTTGGACTGGGAGAGTCAGTCTAACTCATGGTGCTTTCTTTGAAGCGTCATGAGTTAAACCGAGGAGCTGCACATCTGTTGGCATCCTTAATGAACAGGACCCCACAATGGAGAAAACCAGGACCAGATGTAAGGAGAACATTTTTTAATTTTGCAGCAGCATAGCAATAGTGAAGCAAAGAGTGGAGCAAACAGAATGAAGATGAATTTTAGAAGAATCAAGGATGTTGGTCAGTTTCCTTTGGTCTTAATTAAATTTGAGGGTCTGTATTACTTATTCCAAAGGTTTGTTTTATTTACCCAATGCTGTACTGCTTCAGCATATCTGTTTATTTGGCAATCTTGCCTTCAACACATTTCCACACCTGCTTCTGATGTTTCATTAGCATCTTCTTCTTCTTGGAAAATCTCTTGCATATTTTCTCCAGCACAAAGGTAAAGACTTTGTATTTCCAGCCCATCTCATGGACCTGGCACTCCATGTATGCAAATTTGTGCTTCGGTTTCAGGCAAATCACTTTCTGGACAGCTGGCACCACCATTCATTTCCTCTTGTCATAAGGGGATGAAATGTCATCTAACACCTTCAATGTCTCCAAGAGAGCCCAAAATTTCTTGGTCTGGCCCTTTCGGGCAATATCCTCTGGATATTCATCCAGAGGGTGTGGCTGGAGGTGTAGAAGTGTTACAGGCTGTATAAGGGGTGGGTGTTGATACTCTTGTGAAGGAAGGCCAGGTACTTTGGTTTGTCATGGTATATGCTCCAAGAGATCACACATCAGGACGAGAGACATGCTTGGATGGGATGGGCTTCACCTTTCCCCCAAAGGTAAGTGTGTGTTCTCTTCTAGGTTAGCTAATCTCCTCTGGTGGGCTTTAAACTAGGCTCGTTGGGGGAAGGGGAAGACATGGGCAGAAGAAGACTTGGACCACCAAACCAAGCATCACCTGCAAGAGCAGCCCAGCCTAGACTGATGACAAGTGGAACAAATACTCGGGTAAGTAACAGGGGCCCGGGTAGTTCTGGGATTAGGGGGGCAGTGCATGCATATTCAGGAGGCCTCAAATGTCTCTATACTAATGCTCGCAGTATGGGAAACAAACAGGAGGAACTTGCCCTCCTGCTAGCTAACACCAACCCAGACATAGCTGGGATCACCGAAATGTGGTGGGACCCAACGTATGACTGGGCACTGAACATCAAGGGCTATAGGCTGTACAGGAGAGATAGGACAGGGAGGAAAGGTCAGGGTGTGATGCCCTATGTCAAGGAGCAATACACATCCTCAGTGAGTAGCCCTGAGTCAGAGGATGTGATCATCATGGGCAACCTAAACTTTCCAGACATCTCCTGGGAGGAGCCAGGTCTGACTGTTCACATAGGTTCCTAGCTGAAATACAGGACCTCCATCTAACCCAGGAGGTGCACAGCCCCACCAGGGGAGATGCCTTGTTGGATCTGGTCTTGGCCATGGGCAATGACCTGGTGGGGGGACTGCGGATACTTGACCACCTGGGCGACAGCAATCATCATCTGCTGGAATTCACCATCCAGCACAAGGTGGCGAAGGCCTGCAGCAAAGCAGCAACCCTGGACTTCAGGAGGGCGGACTTCAATGTGGTAAGGAGATTAGTGGGGGAGACACTGAGGTCCCGGAGCGGGGGGGAGTTGGGTGTCCAAGAAGAGTGGTCACTCCTTAAGGAGACGATCCTCCAAGCCCAAAGGGAGGTAATCCCTACATGGATCAAAGGGGCCCCCATGGCTCACCAAAAGCATCTGGAAATGTCTCCAAGCTAAAAAGGAGGCGTACACTCATTGGAAGGGAGGGGCCATCACCAGAGAGGACCATACCTCTGTTGCTCAGGGCTGTAGGGGGGCAGTCAGGAAGACCAAGGCAGAGATGGAACTGGGACTAGCTACCCAGATCAAAGACAACAAGAAGTCCTTTTTTAAATACATAGAGGGTAAAAAGAAGGTACCAGGTAATGTGGGGCCTCTGCAGGACACGCTAGGAAATCTGGTCATCACATCAGACAGCAAAGCTAACCTATTTAACAATTTATTTGCCTCCATTTTTCTGAGTAGGGACCTGGTCATCCCCCCCACTGGGACCCCCATAGGCCCCATGGGAGGCTCACCCATGGGTCAGTGAGGACCTAGTCAGGGAACTTCTGGAGGGCCTGGACATACTTAAATCAGCAGGTCCTGATGATCTCCACCCCAGAGTGCTGAGAGAACTAGCAGAGGTTATTGCAGGGCATCTGGCATGGCTTTACGAGCACTCATAGTGCTCTGGTGAGGTGCTGAAGGACTGGAAAAGGGCTGATGTGGTTCCCATTTTCAAAAAAGGGAGGAAGGAGGACCCAGGAAACTACAGACCCGTTGGTCTTACCTTGGTCCTGGGGAAGTTTTTGAGAAAATTATCCTGGTGCATGTCCACGAGGGGCCAGCAGGGGAGACCATGTTTAGGGGCAAACAACATGGGTTCATTAGAGGCAGGTCCTGTCAGACCAACCTGGTGGCCTTCTATTACCGGGTCGCCAAATCCCTGGATGCAGGTGTCACAGTGGACGTAGTCTTTCTGGACTTTAGGAAAGACTTCGACATGGTCTCTCACCCCATTCTCATTAAAAAACTAGGAGACTGTGGTGTCGATGCCTACACAGTCAGATGGGTCACTAACTGGCTAGAGGGCCGCACGCAGAGAGTGGTGGTGGACAGGTCTTATTCGACCTGGAGGAATGTGGGCAGTGGGGTTCTGCAGGGCTCGGTCCTTGGGCCTGCACTATTCAACATCTTCATCAGCGACTTGGACAAAGGGGTAAAATGCACCCTGTTCAAATTTGCAGATGACACTAAGATGTGGGGGGATGTGGGTGCGCTAGAAGGGAGCAATAGGCTGCAATTGGACCTAGACAGGTTGCAGGGGCGGGTGGATGAGAACAGGATGGGTTTCAACACTGACAAGTGCAGGGTACTGCACCTGGGGAGGAAGAACCAGCAGCAGACCTACACACTGGGGAACTCCCTTCTCGTCAGTACAGAGGCAGAGAAGGATCTTGGAGTCATTATTGAGGCCAATATGAACTGGGCTGACAGTGTGGGGATGCAGTCAGGAAGGCCAACCACACCTTGTTATGCATCCACAGATTCATCTCAAACACTTCCAAGGAGGTGATCCTCCCCCTCTGTGTGACACTGGTTAGGCCACAGTTGGAGTACTGCATCCGGTTCAGGGTGCCGCACTTCTGGAGGGACGTGGACAGCATGGAGAGGGTCCAGAGGGCCAGTCACATGATCAGAGGGCAGTAAGGCAGGCCCTACGAAGAGAGGCTAAGGGACCTGAACCTGTTCATCCTCCACAAGAGAAGGCTGAGGGGGGATCTAGTGGCCATTTACAAACTAGTCAGGGGGGACCAGCAGGCATTGGGAGAGTCCCTGTTCCCCTGAGCACTCCCAGGAATGACAAGAAATAATGGTCACAAGCTAGCAGAAGGTAGATTTAGGCTAGATATCAGGAGGCACTACTTCACTCTCAGGGCAGCTAGGATCTGGAACCAACTTCCAAGAGAAGTGGTGCTGGCTCCTTCCCTGGGGGTCTTTAAAAGGAGGCTGGATGAACACCTGGCTGGGGTCATTTGACCGCAGTACTCTTTCCTGCCACGGCAGGGGGTCGGACTTGATGATTTGCTCAGCTGCTTTCCAACCATACCAACTATAAAAGTATGAAACTAAGATGGTGGTGCCTTTTAATCTCACCTTTGTCATCTTATGACCCAATGAGATCTGCTTTGCTATATGGTACTGGAAGAGGTGTCCTTCAAATGACCTGAACCTTATGCTCTGTCATTGCTAATACAGACACTCCCTCTTAAGTTTAGCTTGACCATACTAACTTCAGGACTCTGCATGCTCTATTCAGATTGAGCAATAAATGTTGGCTTGTTTTAGAAATGCAACCTGCATTCAAGTAAACTACTCCAGCACACTCAAGAACAGCAGCTTGGGGCACCCACTAGACCAGGTGTGGACAATTATTTCAGCTGGAGGGCAACTTGATGACTTTTGGTGTGCTGTTGAGGGCTTCAGGGATGGCCCCACCCCTTGACAGGTGCCCTGCACCCAGTTGCCATCTTGGGACTGGAAGTCCTACCCCCGACCCCTGACTTTTGCCACTGGAAGTCCCTCCCCATGCCCACCGGGAGCATTCCTTTGGGGAGTGGGGGGTGACATCTTGGAACCAGAAAAGAAACAAATCATATACTAAAAATCAAACATCTACTATAACATATTTTAATTTTATTTTAAAACATATTTTTTCATATTTAAAATCCTTCAAGAGGAGGTTGGATAGATATCTGGCTTGGGTATTATGATCCCAGCACTCATTCCTGCCCAGGGCAGGGGGTCGGACTTGATGATCTATTCAGGTCCCTTCTGACCCCAGAAACTATGAAACTCTTGGATATGTTGATTTCTTTGAGTTATGAATCCCCTCCAGGAATCAAGTTCTTCTGGAAGCCAACTCACCAGTGGAGCCAGGAGGGTAAAAGACAGTCCTGTAGTCCATAGGCCTTATCTCAGAATTGAAGGAACTCACCATTACAAAGAAAGTAAAACATGGGGCTGACCTAAGAAAGAGTATATAGAGGATGGGGTCTCAAACAAACTCTAGCAAATCTTTAACATGAACAAATTATTTTGATTGTGACTTAGACTATATTATATTCATTCAATGAAATCAGAACATATCCCCCCTTACAAGTACATGCTTCACACAAGCTAGCCAAACTTTCCAAAGCAATAGGAGAAAGTAGGGTCACTTGCCTATTTATTTTTTTCCTGGAACAGCTGGATGAGAAGTAGATGGGGAATGAGCTTCCAAACCTCCACCCCTCACTGAGTAGAGTAGCTGAACTATTCTAAAAGGAGAAGTGATTTAGAGGAGAGAAACAAATCAACAGTGAATAAACATCTATTCAAGGACAAGGAGGTAGTGGAAAATGTGACTCAGCAAAGAATGTCTGAGACAATCTACACAAGACATTTACTGCAGTAGACTAATTAGCTCTGCAGTAAATGTCTTGATAGCTACATGTGCAGAACTATTAGGCTGGAGTAATCTCTGCAGCAGAGTAGTACTTGTAAGTAGATGCTGCCCTGGCTGGCTGGGGCACAAGGGTGCTTCAGTATGGGGCTGCCTGTTGGCTAGCCCCGCACTGGAGCACCCTTATGTTCAGCCAGCCCCTCTGCAGCATATTGAGCCAGGTTGGAGCAGCCCTGGGCTGGCGAGCTGGCTCGGCCCCCTGAGCCCCGCGCTAGCTGGGGCTGCTCCAACCTGGCTAAACTTGCTGTGGTCCCAGGCACGTGTAAACACAGTGCCTGGGAATGATAAACTTTGGGGTGAAAGCACTGGAGTTTATTATATCGCATGAATATGCACATGTAGATGTACCCAGTGCCTTCTTGGGCTAATCCTGTAGTAGCACAGCCTTACAACCTACCCCTTTCCTAGGGCAGCTCGTAAAGTCGCAAAGGTTATCAACCCCCGATTATTAGTGTTTATTTTGCACTTGCAAAACAGAACTAACATTGAGTGCACTGGGCATTTTTCAAAAAAGGTTCCAGGCTCATATAAATAGAAATGTTAAATAGAAAATTATAAAA